TGTGAGTGTTCCCACCAGGTAAGCGCACCCCAGGGGTCTCTAATAATCACCTGGGTGGGACCTCAAGCTCCCAAGAAGTAGGTCCACACTGTTTAGCCACAGGAAGGAGTGGGAGAGTGGTTGGAGAGAGTCTGCTTTTACCACAGGAAATTGTTGGAGATGGGGAGCGGAAGGTGGAGTTAATTTTTTTTTTTTGCATTGATGCCTGGGGATTAGATTCTGGGGGCCTGAAATGTGTAGGAAACTGTTGCGGAGAAGGGTTAGGGTGATAGGCGTCTGAATTTCTGCAGGGACTGAAGGGGGAGCAAAGTCTGAATTTTTCCAAAAAACCAACGAGGAACCGGCGGTTAGAGGTTATGATCCTGAAAATGTGCAAGAAATTGTAGAGTATGGATGCATCTGAGCATTTCCGAGAAATGATGGGAGAAGCACTTACCGCCCTGGTTTCACCTGAGCCCGGTGCTCTGCCTTCGTCAAGATGCCCACAGACGGGCAACAATAGCTGTGCCTGGAGCCTGGCCCCTGGCACCAAGGACAGCGCCCCTGGCCAGCGCTGCCCAGCACCTCGGACAGCGCCTCGGGCCATGCTGCCCGGGCAGCACAGGCATCTGGCAGAAAGGTCAGGAATCACAAAGCAGAGGTGGAGCCCAGTTTCTGATCCACTTCTGAGCTTCTGACTGCTTCCCGTGACTGCAGAAGGAAGAGGCGGAGTATAAAAAAATAACCCCCGAGCTTCCGTGAGTACTACAGTTGAACGGTGTGGCTTCCTGGATTTTGAAAGGTGAACCCAAATTCCTTCAAAAATCTAACATTTATTGAGTGCTTACCACGCTCTAAGACCCCTGTGCTGAGCAGCCTTGCACAGCTTGTTTCCTTGTTATGGTACACCACAAACTCGTGTACTGTTATCCCCATTTGACAGATGAGAAAACTGAGGTAAGAGACGCTCACCTGCCCAAGTTTATACAACCACAAAATCATAGAGCTGTGTTCCTAAACTCCACACCGGGCTGCAGTCGTGGGAAGACAGCGCGGGAGTGGCATTTCTTCCATGAAATAGCTTTGAACGTATGGGATCGTAGGAACCGAGTGTGAATCAAAGCTGTGATGCTTAGAAACGTGCTCTTGGGCACAATCACTTAACGAGCCTGGACTTCAGGCTCGGCTTGTATCTGTAACATTAGGATAATAATGCTCCCCTTGCAGAGATATGGGGGGAGGGCATTCAAAGAGATCATTATGTGGATTGTGGTTGGTTGCCAGCGAGAAAGGAGGGAGCAGGTGATCAGAAGAGAAAGGGTTGGTAGTGGACACTAGCAGCACTTTCCAGGGGTGGGGGGAGCTAGGATTCTGGCTTCTGGGTGCATTAAATTCAACATAATCCCATAGATCTTTACAGGACTTTGTGAAGAGTGTTCACAGATTGCCTGACTTTGGACCTTATAACAGTCTTGTAAGGCAGAATTGGAGTTCTGTTTATTTGGCAAAATGATGCTTGTCCCGTCCCCCCCATTACTCAGCTGCCTGGTAGCAGGGCCAGGATTAGAACCCAGGTTGTCCACCTCTGTACTCTGTAACCCGTCTGCCGTGACCGGTACACCTGCAGGAGCTTGGGTGATGCACCCCACAAGGATCTTTTAAACCACCCCAAACAGGCTGTTGGGGGAGGAAAGGGAAAAGAGTGTGCCCCACATCTGCCTTCCACCCCCACCTCCTCCTATTGGTCAACTCTTCCTCCACACTTCTAGACTGAGTGACCTTGTCTCTCCAGGCAGCAGTTTCCCCTGGTCAGTTGAAACTGGGTGTGCGACTTTACTTGGCCAGCTGACCAGTGAGCCTGAGACTGTGGGTCCCGTACAGATCTTGCTAAATCTGCTTGGGCACAAAGCAAAGCACGTGAATGACACCTGAGAGGAGGAAGTAGGCGTGGTTGTGCAGACCTGGGGTGATGCACAGAGTGAGGCTGGTGTGATATACGAGGCACTTGTCAAGTAGCCATGGGGCTGCCATCTTTCAAACCCTATATTCTTGACGTGAAAAGTGTAAGGTAATGCGGCTTAGCAGCGGTTAACGTGGGCTCAGCACATTTTATCTGGGCTACGAGAATGAGGTAAGGATCTGATTCTGTTCTCCAGCGAAGCTCTTGCATTTCTGTCACTTAAGGAGTTTCAGTTGGGAGGCCCACAGTGAAAAATGGTCATAGACAACCTGGAAAGTAGTTCACTGCACAGAGACAATGCTACATTCATAGATGGGCTGGATATTCCAGGCCTCGGGTAACGACCCAGACTCCTTGCCTCCGTCCTGCTCCCTCCTCGGTGCTGTCCCTCTGTCTCGGTTTAGCCTGCCGGGGAGGGGGCAGTGGTATCTCATTGTGCTTTAATTTGATTTCCTTGAGTAGTAACGAGGTTGAGCATCTTTTTCTGTGCTTATTGGGCATTTGTGTTTTCCTTTGTGGAGGAAGTGATTTGTAGGAATCCTTTATACAGTCCGGCTCTGAGTTCTATCTTGAGTGATTTTCCTCTTGATGAGAGGAAGTAATGTTTGAGCTGAGGTTTGAAGGATGCTGAATAATTAAAGAACAGGGAAGCCTGATAATAAGAAACATGAATCTAAGAGGAAGAAAAAGCAAAAGTGGGGCATTTGGGAAAAAGCCAGATTCTAGTGTGGATGGAGCGGGAACAAGCCAGATTCTAGTGTGGAGGGGCTGGTTGGGGCAGGAGGGGACGGGCCCTTGGCGGACGGAGGCAGCAGGTTCCGTGCATGTCCTGTTCCCTTTACTCAGTCCTTGGAAATTCTGCTTCAAATGCTTTGCACTTGGGGTCTAACAAGCTTATTGGGACTTTAATTAAATGATCCTATGTAGGCCCACAGGAGAGTTAAAATGACAGAAACAGGAGGGAGAGAGAAATCAGTAGGAGACTAAAGAAAGAAAACTATAGAGGTGGAGAGAGAGGAAACAGACACTTGGGAATATATTTAATAACACAGTGTCCTTGGGTGGTGGCATTTGTACAGGAAATCTCACAGGAACACACAAACAGAATTGCAACAAAATTAGACATAGATGTAGTTATCAGAAGAGTGCATATGTAAGAAGCAGAAAATGATCCTAGACAGAAAGGTACAGACTAGATTGTTAGCCATAGTGACTGGGAAGAGGAGAGTCACTTTGAGGAGGGGCTGACAGTGTGGAGAAGTCCATGTGGAGGTAACCCCTGTATTTCAGATACACATAAAGTACCTTGAGAAGGATACATAATAAATCAAGAAGAGAGATTAGGAGACTGGGGCCTCAGGGACCTCCTCCCTGCCACCTACCCTTAGTTATATGACCTCTTCTCCACCACATTCCTTTAGCCATAAGATCTTTCTATTACATACTCTGTTATATAATTTGAGTTTATCATGTACTAACTTAAAAACTGATTTTTTATAAACATACAGTAGACTGGGTGGGAGGCTTGTGGGCATAAGGCTCTGAAGTTGACCCCGAGTTTGCCCCTGATCTGTGTACTGACCTCCGGGCCTCTACTCATCTACACAATAGGGACAACACCACCATTCATTTGACATGGTGAGGCTTGGCCTGAAAACCATCAAAGCCTTGTGCACGGGACTAGGGTGCTAAATGTTTCTGACGAACGAGCAAATGACCTGCCTGTGACCCCAGTGCCTCTCCAGTGGCACACAGTGCAGGGCTGGCTCTGGCCTAGAGCACCCCTCTGATGTCCCCGATGAGCCAGCCACTCTGCCACCACGGATGCTGCCCACAGTCGCCCAGCAAGCGGACCCACCTTTGGCCCCTCGTACAGGAAGGAGTCCATATTTTGAAGAGGATGTCACTGATGACGCTGTCCACGAACACTCCTGGGGCACCCCTCTTCTCACCCGTGGACTCCAGCTGTCTCAAGCAACGCCCTGTTTGGAGGGTCTTGAGTCCAGGAAATAAGTAACTGACATGGGGAAACCAAACAGAAAACCCAGACCTGACAAGTCTCAGCCCAGGAAGCTCTGGTGTGAGCTTTATTTCCTAGTATTTGTGAACAAAAGCACAGTCTCCGATTCACCCTGGCCTTGTCTCCGTTTAAACCAGAGGGACGAACGTAGCATGGCATCCTTGGAACAGGCCCAGAAGTGTGAACAAGGATGAGAATCCTGACATCTGCTGGAGAGTGGAGACCACAACCTGGAGAGAGAGTCCGATTGATTTCTTCTTCTTTTTTAACCCTAACCTGAGGATATTTTTTCCATTGCTTTTCAGAGAAAGTGGAAGGGAGGGAGAGAGACATTGACTGGTTGCTTCCTGCACACTGCCAGACCAGGGCCAAGGATAGAGCCTGCAACCAAGGCATGTGCCCTTGACCACAATCAAACCTGAGACCCTTCAGTCCGTGGGCCAATGCTCTAACCACTGAGGCAGACCGGCTAGGGCCGGATTGATTTTTTGTTTTATAATACTTTTTTTCTGGTTTCCTCTGTTATCACAGTGATACATGCTTATTTTAAGGAAGACAGTGGAAAGAAGAAAGTAAAAACTATCCATAACCCTGTTACCCAGAACAAAAAGAACATTTTGGTGCATTTCCCACCAGTCTTTTTGAAAAAGACTGTGCTTTGGCTAAAATGCCGAGGCCACTACAGTGGACACAGCAGAGGCGGCCTTTCCTTAGGGAGCACAGACTTGAACGGTGCTGACAGGCTGTACACAAAGTTTCTTTAACTACGTTTGGGGTAAGTGTTGTGCAGTCAATGCCATAACAGCTTGCATTTTTTTAGAATATGTTTTTATTGATTTCAGAGGGAGGAAGAGGGAGGGAGAGAGAGAGAGAGAAATATCAATGATAGAGTCATTGATCAGCCGCCTCCTGCATACCCCCTACTGGGGATTGAGCCCACAACCTGGGCATGTGCCCTGACCAGGAATCGAACCATGACCTCCTGGTTCATGGATCTACACTCAACCACTGAACAACACCGGCTGGGCAGCGGCTTGCAATTTTTATTGCTTACCAGTATGCTGGGCATTATGGGAGCTGCTTTCCATGTGGTGAAGTGTTTCATGTACACTGCCTTATTTAATCTTCACAATCATTTATGAGATAGCCTACTGCTCCTCATGACTGATGGATACCTGGGCCCAGGCTTGGGGTCACCTGTGCACAGACCCTCCGACAGCCGCTAGGTCAGCTGGAGAGCACGTGATGTTTCCTCTCTTCTTCCCTCGCTAGGTCTGATCACCACTGTGGCTCAGAGACGCTGAGCTGTAGCCATAGGATGGATGACCACACGGAACTGAGGACTGATGGAAACTCACTTTTAAAGGCCGTGTGGCTGGGGAGGCTCCGGCTGACCAGACTCCTCCTGGAAGGGGGGGCCTACATCAATGAGAGCAACGACAAGGGCGAGACAGCGCTCATGGTGGCGTGCATCACCCAGCACGTGGACCAGCAGAGCGTCAGCAAGGCCAAGATGGTGAGGTACCTGCTGGACAACAGGGCCGACCCCAACATTCAGGACAAGTCCGGCAAGAGCGCTCTCATCCACGCGTGCATCGGGAGGGCTGGGGCAGAGGTGGTCTCCTTGCTGCTGGGGAACGGGGCGGACCCCAGCCTCGAGGACCACACTGGGGCCTCCGCTCTGGTTTACGCAGTCAATGCTGATGATAAGGATGCGTTGAGATGTCTCCTTGATGCCTGCAAAGCCAGAGGGAAGGAGGTGATCATTATAACAATGGACAAATCGTCTTCCGGCACCAAAACCACCACGCAGTATCTTAATGTTCCTCCATCACCTAGAGCGGAGGGCAGACAGTCACCTGGGCTGTGCGCCTCTCCCTCGGATATCAAACTGATGGCTCCTGGCCTGGATTCTCCACCTTGTGAGAAAGAAGATGACATCTTTAGCCTCCAAACAGGACATCCAAGTGCTTATAATACCTCCAAGGCTCTAAACGAGCCTGGGTCACCCACTAGGAAAGTTGGGAGCCTCAAAAGGACCCGTTTGCCTCAACTGAAGAGGCTCCAGTCGGAACCCTGGGGCTTGGTCGCAGCCTCCGTGCCGGCCGTCCCCGCATCCCAGGATGAGACCCGTGGTGCCAGCACAGAGGGTGAGGCCATCAAGAGTATTAGTGACATGTCCTTCCCCAGGAGGGCGCCCCTCTCCAGGACCAGCAGTATCGACGGCAAAGACCCCACTCTCTTCCCCACAGTCACGGAGCCAGTTCTGAAGGTCCCAGCCTCTCCAGCCCTGGCTTCCTGGAAGGCAGACTATGAGAAAGGCCAGGCTCCCCACCCTCGTCTGGCCAGAAGAACTCTCCCTGATGACCAAGAGAAGGGCTGTCTGGGTCCACCGGGACCCTCTACTCTCAAAGACACGGCGTCCCTTAAACAGCTGGAAGGTGACCTCTGTGATTTAGATTTACAGACAGGGGTCAACCCACCCAACACCATTGCCCTGGAATCAGGCAGAGGCCCCTTAGACAGAAAGAAGCTCACCGGCCCCCACCTGGCTCTCTTCCGTGGCTCCCGGGAATCTGTGGACGCCGTGGCCAGCACGTCGCCCAGCTCGGTGCGCCGCAGGCCCCTGCATCCTCTAGAAAGACGAGGTTCTGGGACTGTGCTGCTAGACCTAGTTTCTCACACCAGGCCTGGCTTCCTTCCACCTTTAAATGTCAACCTGAACCCACCAGTCCCAGATATTCGATCTAGCAGCAAACCTGCTTCTCCACTTGCTAGTGGCTTAAAATTCATGGTTCCTGTGGGTCCAAGTTCACCAAAGAGAGTTGACTTGAGAAGTAAGAAGCAGCTGCTCAGGAGGCATTCCATGCAGGCCGAGCAGATGAGGCAGCTGTCTGACTTTGAAGAGATCATGACCTAGGAGCTTTTAGGTCTCTGTTTTTAATCCATGGGATTTACAAAAGTTACCACACACACAGCCATGCCCATTCTCGGCATCTCGACCGTTCCTTAATGCTGGTGTGTGTGGTCTCTTTATATGCTGTGGAGATGGTGTCGTCTCTCTTCTGAAATCATCTCTGGGTTTTTATACGGCCTACTTGAAAAGAGCTCAGGGTATTTGGGTTTTGGAGATGAAGTGGCCTGGCCTCCAAAAAAATTCTCCAAAGGAGGAGACCATTTGGAGTTTGAAAGTAACATGGCAAGTACAGTGATCTAGGTTGTTCACACCCATTATTTTCTGTCAGACAAACAAGAATTTCATTCATAAGATGGTACCTGAAATATGTCCTTTGCAATGAATCGACAAAGTGCCTGCAAAGAAAATGAGGCTTTCACCGTTGTTAGCATGTGCCAGCACTAAAGAACAGGCCCTGAGCTACTAAACCTGGTCTCTGTTACACTCGAAGGAGCAGAGATGCCATCAGAGAGGGTCTGGCACCTGGGTCTATAAATTCCGAGCCTAAACTCATCTGTTAAGGAAAATGAGCTCTGCCACTGGAGCTCCATGTCACACCATTCCTATAATGACATTTGCTAGAGATTCTTCTGAATATCCCAAACAAAAGTGCTTATAAATAAAACAAGTGTTTATTTTTTAGTAATTCCTTTAGGTGAGCACATGCTCAGCCTCAGCACTATTGACATTTAGGCTGGATCATTTTTTGTTGCTGGTGGTGGAGGCTACACACACGTCCTGTGCATTGTAGGGTTAGCAGGGTTTTTGGCTTCTACCCACTAGATTCCAGCAGCATTGTCCCCTCATTGTAACAACCAAAAATGTCTCCAGACGTGGTCAGACACATCTCCTGGGGGCAGCATCACCTCGATCGATCACCAGTATTCTAGGAGAATTACCATGTCCAAGGTAGAAATATGTCAAGAAGTGCATGCAGAGCAGCTGCCTGGCCGGTGTGGCTCAGTGGTTCAGCATACATCCATGAACTAGGAGGTCACAGTTTGATTCCTGGTCAGGGCACATGCCCGGGTTTTCAGGCTCTATCCCCAGTAGAGGACGTGCAGGAGGCAGCTGTTGGAGGATTCTCTCTCATCACCGATGTTTCTCTCTCTCCCTCTTCCTTCTTCTCTTTGAAATCAGTAAAAATATTCAAAAGTAATTTAAAAAAAAAAGAAAAAGCAGAGCTTCATGGAGGTGTGGGTCTGGCTGGTGAGCTAGAATCTCCCACAGACTTAAAGGCCATTCAGATTGTGCTTTAGTAAGATGACAGATCCACACATAACTCAGGCCTTAGGATTCTTGGCCAATACACATACGTATGAGTACTAATGGCCTCCTGTAGTTTTTAGGAAGAGAAGAAAAGCACATAAGCTAGGGAGAATCCAGGGCTGGGCAACCTGGGTTAGTGCGCTCAAAATCCATGTGGTCACTAACAGTTCTTACCAAGTGGATGTGATTACAGTCCAGGACACAGCCCTAAATGCATTAAGGAGGACCGTACAGACCACCATTGCGCNTGCATACAGCAGGGGCAACACCGGGTACCGTGCATACAGCAGGGGCAACACCGGGTACCGTGCATACAGCAGGGGCAACACCGGGTACCGTGCATACAGCAGGGGCAACACCGGGTACCGTGCATACAGCAGGGGCAACACCGGGTACCGTGCATACAGCAGGGGCAACACCGGGTACCGTGCATACAGCAGGGGCAACACCGGGTACCGTGCATACAGCAGGGGCAACACCGGGTACCGTGCATACAGCAGGGGCAACACCGGGTACCGTGCATACAGCAGGGGCAACACCGGGTACCGTGCATACAGCAGGGGCAACACCGGGTACCGTGCATACAGCAGGGGCAACACCGGGTACCGTGCATACAGCAGGGGCAACACCGGGTACCGTGCATACAGCAGGGGCAACACCGGGTACCGTGCATACAGCAGGGGCAACACCGGGTACCGTGCATACAGCAGGGGCAACACCGGGTACCGTGCATACAGCAGGGGCAACACCGGGTACCGTGCATACAGCAGGGGCAACACCGGGTACCGTGCATACAGCAGGGGCAACACCGGGTACCGTGCATACAGCAGGGGCAACACCGGGTACCGTGCATACAGCAGGGGCAACACCGGGTACCGTGCATACAGCAGGGGCAACACCGGGTACCGTGCATACAGCAGGGGCAACACCGGGTACCGTGCATACAGCAGGGGCAACACCGGGTACCGTGCATACAGCAGGGGCAACACCGGGTACCGTGCATACAGCAGGGGCAACACCGGGTACCGTGCATACAGCAGGGGCAACACCGGGTACCGTGCATACAGCAGGGGCAACACCGGGTACCGTGCATACAGCAGGGGCAACACCGGGTACCGTGCATACAGCAGGGGCAACACCGGGTACCGTGCATACAGCAGGGGCAACACCGGGTACCGTGCATACAGCAGGGGCAACACCGGGTACCGTGCATACAGCAGGGGCAACACCGGGTACCGTGCATACAGCAGGGGCAACACCGGGTACCGTGCATACAGCAGGGGCAACACCGGGTACCGTGCATACAGCAGGGGCAACACCGGGTACCGTGCATACAGCAGGGGCAACACCGGGTACCGTGCATACAGCAGGGGCAACACCGGGTACCGTGCATACAGCAGGGGCAACACCGGGTACCGTGCATACAGCAGGGGCAACACCGGGTACCGTGCATACAGCAGGGGCAACACCGGGTACCGTGCATACAGCAGGGGCAACACCGGGTACCGTGCATACAGCAGGGGCAACACCGGGTACCGTGCATACAGCAGGGGCAACACCGGGTACCGTGCATACAGCAGGGGCAACACCGGGTACCGTGCATACAGCAGGGGCAACACCGGGTACCGTGCATACAGCAGGGGCAACACCGGGTACCGTGCATACAGCAGGGGCAACACCGGGTACCGTGCATACAGCAGGGGCAACACCGGGTACCGTGCATACAGCAGGGGCAACACCGGGTACCGTGCATACAGCAGGGGCAACACCGGGTACCGTGCATACAGCAGGGGCAACACCGGGTACCGTGCATACAGCAGGGGCAACACCGGGTACCGTGCATACAGCAGGGGCAACACCGGGTACCGTGCATACAGCAGGGGCAACACCGGGTACCGTGCATACAGCAGGGGCAACACCGGGTACCGTGCATACAGCAGGGGCAACACCGGGTACCGTGCATACAGCAGGGGCAACACCGGGTACCGTGCATACAGCAGGGGCAACACCGGGTACCGTGCATACAGCAGGGGCAACACCGGGTACCGTGCATACAGCAGGGGCAACACCGGGTACCGTGCATACAGCAGGGGCAACACCGGGTACCGTGCATACAGCAGGGGCAACACCGGGTACCGTGCATACAGCAGGGGCAACACCGGGTACCGTGCATACAGCAGGGGCAACACCGGGTACCGTGCATACAGCAGGGGCAACACCGGGTACCGTGCATACAGCAGGGGCAACACCGGGTACCGTGCATACAGCAGGGGCAACACCGGGTACCGTGCATACAGCAGGGGCAACACCGGGTACCGTGCATACAGCAGGGGCAACACCGGGTACCGTGCATACAGCAGGGGCAACACCGGGTACCGTGCATACAGCAGGGGCAACACCGGGTACCGTGCATACAGCAGGGGCAACACCGGGTACCGTGCATACAGCAGGGGCAACACCGGGTACCGTGCATACAGCAGGGGCAACACCGGGTACCGTGCATACAGCAGGGGCAACACCGGGTACCGTGCATACAGCAGGGGCAACACCGGGTACCGTGCATACAGCAGGGGCAACACCGGGTACCGTGCATACAGCAGGGGCAACACCGGGTACCGTGCATACAGCAGGGGCAACACCGGGTACCGTGCATACAGCAGGGGCAACACCGGGTACCGTGCATACAGCAGGGGCAACACCGGGTACCGTGCATACAGCAGGGGCAACACCGGGTACCGTGCATACAGCAGGGGCAACACCGGGTACCGTGCATACAGCAGGGGCAACACCGGGTACCGTGCATACAGCAGGGGCAACACCGGGTACCGTGCATACAGCAGGGGCAACACCGGGTACCGTGCATACAGCAGGGGCAACACCGGGTACCGTGCATACAGCAGGGGCAACACCGGGTACCGTGCATACAGCAGGGGCAACACCGGGTACCGTGCATACAGCAGGGGCAACACCGTGCTCTGGGAAACAGGATGAGTGTTACAGCTGCAGTGGTACCTGGTCAGGTCAGCACAGGGAGGAAGGAGTCTGCGACAGTCCCCTGGAGCCTCCGTGGGAGGCTCTGTGGCCAGTCCCCGCAGACCGACTGTGGGGTGGGTGGGTTTTCTGAAATCATTGTTAAAGTCCAGTGACTCACGGGAGAAAAGGGGATGTTGACAGGACTGGGGAGGGGAGAGGAGAAAGATGGTGACGCCGGGGCCGTAGGGAGGGTCCAAAGCAGGGCCTCGGTGGAGGGCGCCCACCC